AAGATATTCTAGAAAGAGATAAAAAGGATTTTAACTACTTGAATCCCAAATGAGTGAATCTACCAGGTAAGGTAAGAAATTAAACAGAGCAGTAAAGAAGGGGGGGAAAAACAGGAAAAAAACATGACATGCATAAGTCAATACATTTCAGTTATAACCATCAATGGTTAATTGTCTCAATTCACCAATCAAAAGAAACAGACTGGCAGAATGGATCAAGGAGCAAGATCAAGCAATATGTTGCATACAAGAAGCACATTTAATTAAAAAAGAAATTCACAGACTGAAAGTCAGAGGATGGAAAACTATACTCCATGAGACAGGAACCCAGAAAAAAGCAGGGGTAGCTATTTTATTTGCAGATAAGGTGGATTTCAATCCAAGACTAATTGAGACAAAGGCAGTCACTACTATATCCTTGTAAAGTGAACAATCCAAGTGACAGCATCATAAATATATATGCACCAAATATGAACACACCCAACTATATAAAACAAATATTAATGAACATGAAAAATCTGATAAGCAGTAATACAACTGTTATGGGGGACCTCAATACCCTACTGTTAAAAATAGACAGATCAACCAGAGAAAAAGTAAAAAAGAAATACCAGATTGGAAGCAAACTTTTGAACAAATGGACTTAGTAGATGTCTACATTGTTCCACCCCACATCAGAATGCACATTCTTCTCAGCTGCACATGGGACATTCTCTAAAACAGACCACATACTAGCTCATAGAATATGCTTAAGTAAATGCAAAGGAACTGAAATTATCCCGTGCATTATCAGATCACAGTGCAATGAAATTGGAAATCAATGGAAAAAGAAAGCACAAGAACTTCATAAACACATGGAAGTTAAGTAACACCCTCTTGAACAATCAATGAAATTAATGAAATCAGACAGTTTCTACAATTAAACCATAATGCCAATACAACATAGCAGAACTTATGGGACACAATGAAAGCAGTCCTATGAGGGAAATTTATAGTAGTGAATTCCCATATCAGAAAAACAGAGTGAGCTCAAACAACCTAATATTGAACTTCAAGCTTTTAGAAAAGAGATGAGCAAGTCAAACCCAGAGCTTGTATGAGGGAGGAAATTATAAAGATCAGAGGAGAAATTAATGAAATGGAGACTAAGAAAATATAACTAATCAATGAGTTGAAGAGTTGTTCTTTGAAAGAGCAAATAAAATTGACAAACACTTAGCCAATGTAATCAAAAAAAGGGAAGAAAAGATTCAAGTCCATGCCATTAGGAATGAAAAGGGTGAGATCGCAACAGATCCTACATAAATCCCTAAGATCATCAATACCTCCTTTAAGAACCTGTAGTCTAATAAGATGAAAAACAGAAGAAATGGACAGTTTACTAGATCCATATGATTTACCAAAACTGAATCAAGAAGATAGAGAAATTCTATATAAACCAGTACCTGTCAATGAAATTGAAGATGTAATTAAAAACTTTCCAACAAAGAAAAGCCCAGGCCCTGACAGATTCACTGCTTAACTGTACAAGAAATTTAGAGAAGACCTAATGCTACTATTTCTGAAGCTCTTTAAACCGAAAAGGAAGCAATACTCTTAAATTCATTCCAGGAAACAATACAGTGAAAATGGCTGTACTCCAAAAATTGTTATATAGATTTAATGCAGTCCCACTCAAAATACCAGTAGCATCTGGGTGTGGTGGCGCACACCTGTTAATCCCAGCACTTGGGAGGCTGAGGCAGAATAACTGTGAGTTTGAGACCAGCCTGGACTACATAGTGAGTTCTAGGTCAGTCTCAACTACATAGTGAGACCCTGCCTCAAAAAAACAAAAAACCAAAAAAACCCCACAAAATACCAGTAGCATATCTCACAGAATTAGAAAAAAACAACCATAAAATTCATTTGGAACCAGAAGAGAACTAGAATAGCAAAAGCAATTCTGGGCCACAAAGGCAAGGCAAAGTATTATCACAATCCCTCACTTGAAATTAACCTACATAGCTACTGTGACAAAAACAGCATGGTACTGGCAAAAAACCAGACCCAAGGTTCAATGGAAGAGATAAGAAGATGCACAAACAACTCCAAACACACCAGCCACCTTATCTTTGACAAAGGAGCAAAATACCTTCACTGGAAGAAAGCGTCTTTAATAAATGGTGCTGGAAAAACTGGTTTCCACATGCTTAAGTTGAAAATTAGATCCATATCTTTCACTATGCACTAAACCCAATCAAAATGGATTAATGATCTAAATATTAAAACAGAAACACTAAATCTACTGGAAGATAGAACTCTTGAAGTCATTGGTGTAGGCAGACTTACACAGAAAATACCACAAAGAATCAACAACTGGGATCTCATCATATTAAGCTTTTGCACAGCAGAAGAAATCACCAATAGAGTGAACAGACAACTCACAGTGTTGGAAAAAATTTTTTCAGCTGTTCTTTGGACAAAGGACTCATATCTAGAATATAAAAAAACTTAAAAAAAATAAATCTGATTTTCCAAATTTAAAGACCCAATCCAAAAATGGCAATCTGAAATAAGACATTTCTCAGATGAAGAAGTAGAAGCAGCAAATAAATAAATGAACAAATGTTCAACATCACTGGTCAATCCAGAGAGACAAATCAGAGCAATACAGAGATGTCATCTCACTTCAGAAAGAATGGCTGAACCAATAACAAATGTTGGCAGTGGGGTGGGGGAAAAAGGAACCCACTCTTGGTGGCAGTGTAGACTGATGCAACCACTGTGGAAATAAGTGTGGAGATTCCTCAAAAAAGTAAAACTAGGGCCAGGGATTTAGCTCAGCAGTTCCGGCACCTGCCTTGCAAGCGCAAGGACCCGAGTTTGATCCCCGGTACCCTCCTCAAAGAAAACAAAACAAAACAAAAAATTTAAACCTAGAGGTTCCAGCGGACCCAGCCATTCTCATTTTTGTATCTTTTTGAAAGAATTAAGAGCATCGTAACATAGCAATATATGCACACCCATGTTTATATCAGAACAGTCTGTAATAGCTAAATCTTGGAAATGCCCCAAATGCCCATCAAATGATGAATAGAGAAAGATGTCATTTTTAAATAAAACGGGAGTACTACTCTGCCATAAAGAAGGATAAGCATGAGATATTTCTAGGTAAATGGATGCACCTAGAGACCATACTCTTAAGTGAGATAAACTGATCACACCATTAAATATAACACTGTTTCTCTGGTATGAGAAACTGAAAGTAAAAATACAGACTAAAATGTATAAATGATATTGGAAAATGTGAAAAAATGTTCAAGTGAGAGGGGAACAAAAGAGGGAAGGAGAAAGGAAAGAAGGGGCAAGAAAAAAAAAGAACAGAAGGAAAAAATGGAAACAAAGCTTCTGTAAATAAGGAGGGGAAGAGGGATTGAAGGGAGGGGAGGAGAATGGAAAAAAAGCAGCAAGATATAGCATGTATAGCTACAAATTCCCCATGATGAATGTTATCATTATGTACACCTAAAATGTACTGATAAATGTTTTGCTTAAAAAAAATGTAGGCGATATGAGCAATGACACAAAAATGTAGAAAAACAAGCATATTAATAACTGAAACAAGTATTTCTTTCTTTTTCTAGTGGTAACAAGTAACAAAGGTTAAACTTAAGGTATAAAGAATGAAATGGAAAAAAAAGAGAATGAAATGAACATAACAAAAAAAGGGAAAAAGTTTCCTTTTAGTATGAATCATAGAATAAAATTGAGATAAAAGTAATAAGAATATAAAAATGTAGAATACATACTCATGCATACAGATTTTTTATATGAACACAACACGTATGGTATATGTCTATTTATGTAGCTTATACTATTTCTCTCCAGAGATAAATAAAATAAAAAATATTAGGGATAGGTCCCCCAATATGATCAGGAGAAATGAGAGAATGATTCCTGAAGAATGGTTCAGATTACCTGTAGTGGTTAACCAAAATTAAAATTATAGTATAATAATGTTTTCAGTAAAAACTATTAAAAACAGTGTATTCAATATAAACAATGGTTTCAAGTTTCATTAGCCAATGAAATGAATAAAAAGTTTATATGCTAATGGTGTATATCTATGTTGTTATATTAATCCTTTGTTATAGAAAAATAACATGCTTTCTCTTAAATTTAAAAAACAAAAATTTTCCCTGGTGTGAATAATCTGCAACAATGCATAAGATTCTAATAAGATTACTGACATTTAGAAATGGGAAGAAAGGAGCTAAAGGTGTAGGGAAGGTGGGATGGGTAGGGGAAGAGTAAAAAGGGAAAAGAAAAAAATGTGAGAGAATGAAAAGATGAAAATAAAGTGTTTGTAGATGGGGAGGGGAGGAGGGGGTGAAGGGAGGGCAGAGGTAAGGGGAAAAAATGAGAACCAAGACCTGTCATGTAGAGGTACATGATCCCAACAATGAATGTAACTGTACTGTAGCCCTAAAATGTACCAATACACTCAATTAAAGCTGAAAAAAAAAAAAAACCCAAAAATTTTCTAAATATGTATTTTTTGTGAGGTTATTCATACATTTTTTATATATAATATATATGTATTTAACTGTTATTTTCATATGCTCACTTTACTATTATGGGAATTGCCATGTAATTAAACGATACTCAAATGGAGCATATTCTCCTACAAAAGCACACAGGTAAATCTACATATGGAGGATACACCAAACTTGTAGTCACTTCTAAAATCGTGATCTAAAAATATTTCAAGCCCATAATTATTTTCTTTCCTTATCAATCATTACTATTCAAAGGCTAATACTGTATAACTTCCATTAATGAAACTGTAACAATATTCTAGCTTCTGAAAGATATATTATTAGGAGATGATTAAAGAAGCACTTTATGGATTTGCAATGTATTTTTTCTGTAGTAAATCTAAGTAAGTCATAGTGAAAATAAAATAATTTATATGTATAAATAATTAAGGGTTACCATAAGTAGAAGTAAAAATTTACCTGACATAGAGTGATCGCTTCTGGCTAGTTCTGAGAGAGCCTGATCCTGAACTAATACTACTGTTCATCATCTGCTCCCGTAAGTCATGTATTTTTGCTTCAAAACGACTGTACTCTGATGGAAGAAAAAGAGAAATAAATGTAGATTTTACAGTCTTAATAGCCTACTGTAAAATAATGCATTAAGAATGAAAACTGTCCTAAAATTGAGCAAATGTGGTTAATACCTAAAATAGTAACCTATATAAGATTTTGTGCAAGTGAAAACCACCTTCTAAATGTACCATAACTTAGTTGGCTATTACAATTTTCCCACATCTATATCACCTTTAATTAAAAGACAATCCCACTAATCAAATAGCATTAGCAATCTTACATTTTAAAGTGCATTAAAAAATCAGGATATATTTCAATTCAATTCTTACATTAAAACAGAAACCTATAATAATTAACATAATAGATGCTTTGGTTGCTAACTTTTTCCCCTCAAGTGAGTTAATCTTAAAAAAAAATTTTTGTTTTTTTTTTGGTTTTATGAGACAGGGTCTCACTATGTAGTTGAGACTGACCTAGAACTCACTATGTAGCCCAGGCTGGTCTTGAACTCACAGCGACCCTCCTGCCTCAGCCTCCTGAGTGCTGGGATTACAGGCATGTGCCACAACACCAGGCTAATCTTAAATTCTTAAACACAGAATTTGTGCAGAATCAATAAAATAGGGAAAACATGCCTCAATAAATTGATAAATGAAGTTAAACTTATTTTAACCTGTTTTATAATTTATAAATTGTCAAAAAAGCCAAAAGAAGACACAAAGCAATTTGAAGTAACATTATAAACATTTTTATTTAAGGGCTGGGAATTTAGCTCAGTGGTTCTGCAGCCTGTCCCGAGTTTGATGTCCAGTACCAAACCAAATCAAATCAAACCAAACAGTTTAATACAAAAGACAGTTTAACACAAAAGCAAGTATGATTTTGAAGATGGACTACTTTAAGCTATATATTAAAAATCTAAATAAAAATAGCACTTTTACAAAAATATTGTAATTACTGATTCTATATTCTTGTATCTTTATAGTATTTTTTTAATAATTAGGTAAGATCAAATTCGGCTTTCTTATAAACTTAGTCTTATGGCAGATAATTTGTCTAAGAGTTTGTATAGTTCAAGAAGACAGAGTAAGCATGAATATTGCTGAGTTATTCTTCCTTTTACCAGAGCCACCAAAACTGCTATAAATGAAACAATAATTTATCAAAAAATTCAGAAACATTTAAAAATTCACATTAATATCTAGCAAAATATTTTTTAGTTTTTTTTGGGGGGTACCAGGGATCGAACTTAAGACCTCACACTTGCCAGGCAGGCACAGTGCCACTGAGCTAAATCCCTGGCCCCTTTTTCAGTTTTAAAATACCATAAAAATTTAAATAAAAAACAGTAGTAAACTAAGTATCTATTACAATTCAGCAAGTATCTTTTTTTGGCACTGGGGATCTTAGCCCTTTTTGTTTTGAGACAGGGTCTTGGTTAGCCAGGAGCCTGAGATACTCCTGCCGCAGCCTGTTGAAGAGCAGATTATCATAGGCTGTGGCTCTATCAACTTGGGTTGGAATGTTCTTTTGGTATGTAATTAGAAATATTTTGGGAAAAAATTCCATGTACAGACTTCTGGTGTTCTGTTTGATAGTCCTTTTTTGGTACTGGGGATCAAATGCTGGGAACCACATGCTTGCCAGGTAGGCACTGTGCCACTGAACTAAATCCCCGGCCCTTGATCGTCTTTTCCTCACTAGCGGACTTTTTAGTTTGTATATATTGAATAGTCATTGCCTAACAACAACTACTACTACTTCTGCTTTTTTTTTTTTTTTTTTTTT